AAAATGTAAAAATACATTGTGTATCATGCACTTCAAAATACAATTATAAAAGGCAAGCAACAAGAACCACCCAATTCCCTGTTTTTATGCATTTGGTTGATTGATGGGAGTCCTGAAACAGGCAACAGTATATTCTTTAAATAGCTTTAAATATTTTTAAGTGGCTCACTGTATCTTCCACATACTTGAGATTTTTTTGGGCCTATCTGCAACTCAAGATGACCCATAAAAGACTCAGCACAGACTAACTCTTATGCTAATACATCCATGTGTTACTTCTTTAATTTACCATTAAGTGAAATATATAAATTCTCATCAGCTTCTTCGAGCAAGCCAATCAACATTCTTTTTCCAAACATCAGAATGGACATACAACTTCATTAAGTAACAACTACCAACCGGTCAACAATTTTATGGTAACAAATCAATATCAAAAGCTAGATAAACAAGAATATATCTAGTATTCCTCCATAGGTGGATCTAACATCAATTGTTGGGCACACAACACCTTAACTTGAATATATCGTGGAACACTGCAATAAGTGTCCAATGATAACAATCATTACTCTCTCTAGTAAACAAATGTCGTGTTTTATCAAATATAATATGAGAGAAATCTCCACTTATGCATGGATACACACAACCAATCAACTCGGTCACTAGAAATGCACATCAAAACCTTAGATACGCTACTTTGCGAAATGAAATCATAACGACACCAGTTTCACCACTGCATTAAGTAACAGCAGCAACACATGTCTATATATCTCCATCATTCAACAGCAGCATCCTTATTTCCAATTACAGAGGAGCTCGGTAAAACCTGCTAGATTTCATTCAATCGTAGCTTAAACATTACTCGTAAAACCAGCTAGATTTCATTCAATCGTAGCTTAAACATAACCCGAGCATGTACGAACTAACTGTCCTAATCAACTCAGACAGCAACCCAGGCTTATACACATCAATTCGAAAATCCCTCTTCACTTCTTCTAACAACATCAACCAATTCAAGTCCTCGCCAATCACTTAGATTCATAATTACCCAAAGTTACCCAAACTGGTAGCCAATAAAATCAAAATAAAACACCAGCCACATAACATTACCCAAAACAAAAAAAAATCTCAAATCAAGCAGAGCAATGAATTAAAACAAAAACAAGCAAACAGAAAGGGAACATGAAAAAAAAAATGCTAACGTCTTTGAACTGGACAAGGCCGAGGTCACCGAGGTAAGAGGCGGCGAGATGAGCGGACTCTATGGGGATGATGAGTTGAACGAGTTGCATAGGCTCCGACCGCATCAAATCCATCGACGGACAGCATCCCCTCCCCTGCTCGCCCATTTTCGACCGTCGGATCGAGTCACAGGTTCCTCTCTCTCTCTCAATCAATCAATCGTCGAGGAGTAAGAAAAACCTCCTGCAAAATTGTTGGCTGTGGTAATAATAACAACAATATCAGTTGTAAATTGATAGATAGAGAAGATCGATCAGGACATGAACATGATAAAAGGATTGGCTGGCAGATATTATTATTTTACTTTAACATATTATCAATCAAGAGCCCGGTACTTTTTATTAATATTATTATAAATTAATTATTTTTTCAATTACAAATATGAAAAGTTGAACTGTGATAGAATGTGAATAATGTGGAAATTTCAGGACCTCGATGGACCAAAGCAGCACGTTAATGTAATATTAGCCACAAAAGCGGACGACGCCAAAGACAACCATATACAACGTTGTCACTCTTATTGTTATGGAATCGATTTTCGAATGTAATTTTAGATGT